TTAATGATTTAGGTAAATTTGGTAAAATGGTTATTTCAGTATTATCGCAATACAATTCTATTAAGGAGTTAGGTAATATTGGTAAGCTAGCTAATTGAGTGGTATCGCATCGAAGAATTGTCAAAGAGTTAGGTAAGGTTGACAAGCTAGTTAATTGAGTACAAAAGCAATATAGCTCTGTTAAAGAGTTAGGTAAATTTGGCAAGCTAGTTATTTTAATACTATCGCATCGAAAAATAGTTAAAGAATTAGGTAAGGTTGGTAAGCTAATAATTTGAAAATCAAAGCAATAAAGATGCATTAATAAGTTAGGTAAATTTGGCAAACTTGTTATTTGAATATGATCGCATCGAAGAATAGTTAAGGAGTTAGGTAAGGTTTGTAAGCGAGTTAATAGAGTATTATTACAATATAGTTCTTTTAAGATGTCAGGTAAAGTTGGTAACCTTGTTATTTGAGTATTATAGTAATCGAGGGTTGTTAAGAAGGTATTGGTTAAAATTGGTAAGCGAATTATTTTAGTATTATCGCATTTGAGATTTATTAAGGAATTTGGTAAAGGTGGTAAGCTGGTTAAATGAAAATCTTCGCAGATGAGTTTTGTTAATTTTCGATATCTTTGACAATCCTTCTGATGTCTTTAATATGATATATTTATTAAGCTTAGTAATTGTTAAACTTTTAGTAGTATCGTACTATTCTTGTGCAATTGATTTTTTTCTTGCTCTCTGATCCTTATTTTTTCATCAATAGTTTCTTTGGATCGACTTTCTTGTTTTTTAATTTGTCCATTTAATTCATTAATAGCTTTTTAATTTGCCTTTATTACTTCATCCCTTTCTCCTATCTTTTCTTTTAAATCGTTAATAAATTCTAACTGCTCTATAACCATTTCTTCTAGATTGCTAATTGTTTCTTGTTTGTCTTTATTTTCTTTTTTTTGATCTTTAACTTTTTCTTCAAGAATGCTAATTATTCTTTGATTGGATTTAGCTTCATTTTCTTGTACTTTAACCTTCTTATCTAAAATATTAACAATTTCTTATTTGATATTAGCTGTTTCTTCTCGTTCTTTAACCTTTTCTTCCAAAAAACTAATTTTTTCTTCCCGTTCTCTAACATTTTCTTCTAAATTGCTAATTATTTCTTGCTTCACTTTAGCTTCCTTTTCATTTTCTTTAACCTTTTCTTTAAGAAATTAATTGTTTCTTGCTTGAATTTGGCTGCTTCTTCTCGCACTTTAACCTTTTTTTCTGAATGTTTGAATT